CCTAGATCCAGAGGTTGCGTAGGCCCAGAAACTGCCTCTCCTGACTGCCTTCCCCACCAGGGGCCTGGAAAACCACCTTTCCTACCTTCTCACCCCCTATATCTTTGCATCTTAGGTCTTGCTTTCACCCACTACAGAATCTTAGCTTCCCACCACCATGAGCCTGTGTATTTCCTTTCCTTTTATTTGGAAAAGAAAAGAAAACAAAACAAAACAAAAAACTGGTCCAAAGGCGATTTTAATAGGCCTTATACTTACCAAGGGTTCCCTGGTCACACAGGTTTCCAAACATTGGAATACATAAAAAAGAACAGGTGTTACAGAAAGTCTCGAAGGTTTTAAACTTTTATGTCCATTGTCAAATTCCAAAGGGGAGCTGTCATAAGCTTCATAAGAAGCTTTTTCTTTTTAAATGCATTTGAACACTGAACTCTTTTGTCCAGACGAATTCTTACACACTCACCTCACCATACACACACACACACACACACACACACACTCACACATACACACATCACATGCATATATGTGCACAATTTGGATTTGCAAGCAAGGTGAGTTTCTGAGTCTCACTTCTGCCTTTATGAGACCCTAATTCAAGAAAGAAAAGAGGTCTGGGTCTGAAGGTTTAGAGAGAAAAGGCACCTCTTGGCCAGAAGGGAAAGAAAAAAGAAGGGTCTCTCTGATAGACCATCTTTCAGCAAATCGTCAGCTCAGCCTATGGATGGTCTCCAAGACAGGCTAAATCTGTCCTTGGAGATTTGCATGTAATTAGGCCAAGACAAGGCAGGAGATAAAAATGAGCAATCACAGCCGTGGCACATGTAACTCAAACAGGATAGTGCGAACTATGGCAAACTGGTGGATCAAGCTTCGGCTCTCAGAGGTTACCCTCCTGCGGCCAGCCACTGTGGCCAGGCAGAAAAGTAAGCTTGGTCTTATCCAGTCTGCTCAGCTTTCGAGAGAATCCAGAAGTCCAGATTTGTGTATGATTTGTAAATGTTGGCAATACATTCAAAAGTCTTTTTCAAAATGCTCTGTGGGCCAAACTAAATACATCTGTGGGCAGACAGTGACCTAAGGATCAGACTGTTTGCTATTTCGGTTGCACAAACACTACTCTGCATTTAATGCAGCCAGATCAGGCCTCAGGGCAGTGTGGTTTGGTGAAAGGATCATGATATTTACGGGCAGAAAGAGTTGGGTTTCAAATCCTGGCTCTGCCTCTTGCTTGCTACGTGACCATGGGCACATCACTTAAAGAGCTTAATAAAACAAACCCCACATGGCTGTTGAGGAATAAATAAGGAAATGCAGAAAACAAAGAAACAAACAAAGTATGACTGGCAGCCCTTGGTGTTGGCTTTGTTTGCTTTGTCTTAACTCTCCTTTGCAGAAGTCATCTCAGCTTTATCCGTGGTCATCCTCAGAGGAGGGGACAGGTCTATTTCCAGGCCAAGACCCCAAGTCTGAAGAGTAAGGGAGTAGTAAACTCAGGTGTGGTCTTTGAAACTAGACAAACTGAGTTTGAATCCCAAAGACACCACTAACTAGTACTCTGATTAGACAAGCTACTTCATATTTTAATCTGTTTCTTCACCAAGAAAAATGTGACAAAGAATGCCTGGCTCTCTGGGCGTGGGGATATCAAGTGCCTGGTACATAGCAAGAGCCCCATAAAGATTAGGGCTCACCCCACTTCACATCCATCCATCCATCCACCCGTTGATTATTTACATAGTGAACAGAGGTGAGTGACAACACAAAAATGGGGTTAAAGCAAGGCGTGGCCCACTGTCCCTGCTCAGGCTCAGTTCCCTGGGGATGTGGGTGAGGGGAGTGGAGGCCTCGATGGCAGAGTGACGTGACTTGAATTCCTGCAAGTCCTTCAGTAACAGGAAAGCCAACCAAGCCGTGCCTGAATTTGTAGTTCTGAGATTTGTAGGAGGTGGTGAAGGAAACTTGGCTAGCATCACCATCTTGCCAGGAACTAGTTCTTTGATTCATTAAAAAGAAAGTGCATGAGGAGTGGACCCTTGAGTCCACAGATGGGACCGCCAAGAGCCGTCACACAGCCCCTGCTCTCCTGCTGGCCCGTGGTTGGCAGGCTGGTCACACCAGCAGCTCCACCACCCTGTTTCCCTACCCAAAGCTCCAAGGAGACTGTAGCACTTCCTAAGCTCAGTGGCTCTCAACTTTGCCTGCCAAGTGGATTTGCTGAGGGAGCTTTAAAAAATACTGAGGCCAAAAGCAGAAATATACTGAGACCCAGGTCCACTTCCATATTCTGAGGCATGACATACGCATCAGAATTTTTAAAAGGTCCCTAGGTAGTTCCATTGTGCAGCTGCTGAGAGCCACCATTCAAAGGACTCCTAGGCACCATGCACTGACTTCTCCCTCCAAAGTCTCCACACAGAGAGGGCACAGTCAGGGGTGACTCAGAATGCAGATGAGTGAATCACTCACTGCTTCCTCTGCTTTTCTTCCTTCCTATTTCCCCTCTGTTACTAGTGTCTGGTGGAAGGAAATGAGCTCTGGAGTCAGATCCTTTGGTTTGAGTCCCAGCTCTCTCACTCACCAATTTCATGACCTTGAGCAAATACATCACTTAACCTCTCTGAGCTTTCCTGTCTGCCAGATGAAGATAATCAAACACTATACATGAAGTCATTGGGAGACATGAACGAGATAACATGTCAGCTGGTGCCTGGCATAAGATCAGATGGCCAGTAAACGTTACCGCCTTTCCTATCTGCATCTGCCGCACGGTCACTACACCCAGGACAAACAGTAGCCACAGCAAGATTTACACACGCTGAGCTTCTGCTTCCTGCTGCAGTCACCTTGGACGCGTGGCTTCACTTTGTTGAGACTCAGTTTTGCTATAAGTGAAAGTACAGGTGATAATGTGATAGTGTTTCCTTATAGGATAAAATAAAGAATTTAATAAGCACGACACAGAGCAATGATAAGGGCCAACAACAGACAGCACTTAGAAAACCTTCACTCCTGCTAGATATTGGGATTATTATTACTAGGAACCACCTCTAGGCAAATCCAGGGGACAGGATAGAACTATTGGCAGACTGCAGATTCCAAACTGTCCCCACCTGGGGTGGGAACTCTCGCTGCCTGGGGGCTCTCTGCCAGCATTTCCAGAAGCTGTCCTCAAGGCAGGATGTGGTAGCAAGGGTGACATCTGGCCCAGCAGCCCCAAATCTCCCCCTGGAACTCCAGACTGGCAGAACCAACTCCATGTGGCCACTGGGATGCCAACCAGGCGTCTCCCATCTGATGACGAGCACTGGAGTCCACCTTCTCCACACCCTGCTCCTCCGAGGAGGACAGAGCCTCCCTCTCCTTGCAGGGCTCAGGCCACAGGACCAGAGTCATTCCTGGCTCCTCTCCTCTCTCCCGACACTCCCTCCATCGGCCTGTCCCGGCAGCTCTCCTGCTACCAACATCCAGGAGCCGAGCCCTTTTCTTGCGGCTGTTGGTCCCCCTCTCACCTGCATTACTGGGGTGACCTCCTGACACTGTCCTTGCCCCTCTTTGGTCTACTTTCAACTGGGCACCATGAGTGCTCTTGTGAAGCATAATTCATACCATTCCTTCAGCAGTTACTTACTGAGCACCTGCTGTGTGCCAGGCCCAGGTCCAGGCTCTAACAGCCTTACATCTTCCCCTGAGCCTACAGGGAATCCTCCAGCCTGGTCTCCTCCCCTCCCTGCCCCTACCCACAGCCCCAGCCTGCTCCCACCTCAGGCCTTTACCCCTGTGGGTGGCCCCCTCCCTACCTGGAAGGCTGCTCCTCCAGGACCTGGGCAGGCTCCCGTCCTCACCTCCTTCCAGTCTTTGCTGAAGCAGCAGCACCTCAGTGAGGCCTTCCCTGACCCCCTTATTTATATTTGCCACTGCCCCCCAACTCCCAGCTCCACTTCTCTACTGGACACTTGTCATCATTGACATTTGATTGCCTTTCCTCTGCCACCCACACTACTGTGTAAGCTCTTCGAGGGCATGGCTTTCATCTGTTTTCTTCACTGTTGACTCCCCAGCACCTAGAACACTCCATAGATATGCACTGAATGAATGGAACACAAGCGTCAAAGTCTTCAGATCTGTTTCACATGTCTGCCTCCCTCAGAACCCTGAGCCCTAGCAGCAGATATCTGTCATACCAGGCTTTGTGCCAGGTGCTGGGGATACTATAGGAACAAGCTGCCTAGGTCCCTGCCCTGCAGATGCTGCACCCTTTCACCCCAGTGCCCAGCCCATGGAGACTGGCTCTGATGTGCTGGCTGAAGCTGTGCTGAAGTCCCACCAACTCCCCATCCCCTGTGCTGCCAAGCCCCTTTACACCTTCCTGCCTTTGCCCATGGTTTCCCTGCCCCTCTTGAATGTTGGGAGCCATTCCCTGAGGGTTGGGTGTGGCCCAGCAGTGAGGGGTCACCATACCAGCAGCCCTGGTGGGCCAGGGGGCTCTGCGCCCAGTGGGCCTGACTGGCCACTGCCTGTGTTTGCAGAGATGGTTGGCGTGGGCTGCGTCCTAGACGGGGTACGCTACAACAATGGCCAGTCCTTTCAGCCCAACTGCAAGTACAACTGCACATGTCTCGATGGCGCGGTGGGCTGCACACCACTGTGCCTCCGCGCACGCCCCCCACGCCTCTGGTGCCGCCACCCCCGCCGGGTGACTGTGCCTGGCCGCTGCTGCAACCAGTGGGTGTGCGATGACGATGCCAGGAGGCCACGCAAGAACATACCACGTGATACAGGAGCCTTAGGTGGGTGTGGGCCTGGGGGGGGCCAGGGGTGGGATTTGGACCCTTCTGGAGCTCTGACCACCTGTGAATGACAAGCCCCTGAGTCCCATTCCCCAGTCCACCACTTACTAACTGTATTCCCTTGGGAAAGTCATATCTCCTCTGGGACCCTATTTCCCCATCCATAAATGGAAATAATACCGTCTGTCCTGCCTGTCTTAGGGGATCCTTCAAGCATAGAATGAGGAAGTGCTTTTAAAGAACAAAGTCATGCCCATGCAATTCATTATTATCCAAGAAAGAGTCTAGGTGGTGGGTGGAGTTGAAGGGAGGGTGGGTGTGTGTGGGTACCTGGGGAGGGGAGGCATGAGCGGCAGGTGCAAGGACAAGAGGTGGGAGATGAGTCTAATAGAGGCTTCTTGCTGACATGAAGCTTCACCCTTGCTATGGAGCATGGGTGGACAGGTGAGGCTTCAGCCAGGTGAGCCAGAAAAGAGGAAGCCCTGGAAAGGGAGGGCAGGAACAGGACTGTTTGTTTCACCACTGCTTACTGGAACCTAGCCTAGTGCCAGACACTTAGCAGCTAGCCAACTAATGTTTGTCATATTGGTAGATGGATGGATGGATGGATAAACGGATGTGTTGATGGATGGATATACAGATAGATGGATGAAAGGATGAGTGGATAGATGGATGGATAGATGGATGGATGAATGGATAGGTGTATGTATGTATGTATGAATGGATGGATGGATGGTAGATAGATGAATGATAGATGAATGGATATATGAATAAATGGGTAGGTGGATGGATAGATGGATGGATGGATGGATAGATGAATGGTGGATGGATGGATGGATGGATGGATAGATGAATGGTGGATGGATGGATGAATGGATGGATGGGCAGATGGATAGATGAATGGGTTGGTGGATGGATGGGTGGACAGATGGATAGATGCATGGTGGATGGATGGATGGATGGATGGATGGATGGATGGATGGATGGATGAATGGATGGATGGGCAGATGGATAGATGAATGGGTTGGTGGATGGATGGGTGGACAGA